GTTACAATTGCATGGGCAGGATAATGCGTACATTTCTTACCAAGCATTGCAGCCTCCTCCTTTGTTTACCCTTCCCATCCCTTCCCAGCCTCCCCCCTCCCCCCCATCCCAATCCTTCTCCCTTGAGACTTTTAATTGTTTCAGAAGATGGTGTGAGTGGTTCAGGCCTGTCATCATATCATCATAGCTACTCAGGAAACTGAACTCTGAGGATCACAGTTCAAAGACAGACTAGGGCTGCCCATGCCAGTGGCTCAAGCCTATAATCCTAGCTACTCAGGAGGCTGAAGTCAGTCCGGGCAGGAAAGTCCATGAGACTCATCTCCAATTAACCACTAGAAAATCAGAAGTGGTGCTGTGGCTCAAGCAGTAGAGTGCTTGCCTTGAGCTGAAGAGCTCAGACACAGCACTCAGGCCCAAGGGGGAAAAAAAAAAGCCTCGGGAAGAAAGTTTATGAGACTTCTTATCTCCAGTTAACCAACCAGACAGCCAGAAATGGAAGTGTGGTCCAGGCGATAGAATGCCAGGCTTGAGTGAAAAAGTTAAGATGCACGCACACTAGGATAATGCCAGGAATTAGGAATTAGGCTGAGGTGTGATACAGGCCTGGAACAGTTAGAAGTACTCCAGTAGAGATCCCCTGGTCCCGCTACAGGATGGATGACCTCCTCGTGACCTTCAGTCAACCTAGATTTTCCCTTCTCTGCAGCTACCCGTGTTGGTGCCCAGCCTTCAGGGGAAACGGTACTGCTGACCACAGCCGCCTGGGCCTCGGGGAAAAAAAGTAAGTGGGGGATTCCATGGAGAGAGAGGGTGGTGGGTGGGCAGGGGGGCCCAGGCGCCACCTGGGAGCAGGCCACCCCAGCCCAGCCCCTCTGGCCCCGGGCATGTGCGCCCCACAGGCGGGCGGCTGCGGCTGGTGGGCGGCCCAGGCCCGTGCCGCGGCCGCGTGGAGGTGCTGTACGCCGGGGCCTGGGGCACCGTGTGCGACGATGACTGGGACTTCTCGGATGCGCGTGTGGCCTGCCGCGAGGCGGGCTGCGGGCCCGCGCTGGGCGCCACCGGCCTCGGTCACTTCGGCTATGGCCGTGGCCCAGTGCTGCTGGACAACGTGGGCTGCACGGGCACCGAGGCCCGCCTGAGCGACTGCTTCCACCTGGGCTGGGGCCAGCACAACTGCGGTCACCACGAGGACGCGGGGGCGCTCTGCGCAGGTGAGGCTGCGGCGGGCCCCGGGGTAGGCGGGCCTGGGAAAGGCGGGCGGGGAGGGGGTGGGGCCTGATGACAGATGGGCGGGGCTGTGCGTCAGCACGCTCCGCCGGGTAGGTGGACGTAGATCTGGAGAGTGGGCGGGGCTCTGCTGCACTGCAGCGGGAGTGTTGGACCGAAAGCAGCCGCCAGCGGTCGCTGTGTTCAGCGGCTGCACGGCTGGGGTGGGGCTTGAAGGGCGTTCTTTCCGCAGTGGGAGAGTAGGGTGCGGCTCTAGGGTGGGGACCCTGCGGCAAGGCTCGGCGGGGCGGGTGACCCCCAGACTTGGGGAGGGCCCAGACCTGAGAGCGAAGGGCAGGGCCGCTTGCTTCCTGCTGAGGTTCTAGTAAGAAATGGGAAGCTAGCGGGGCTCAGAGTCTGTCAAATGCTTCTGGTTCCTTGATGGATGCGTGAAAACCCTCATTTCAGGGATTATGCCTAGGAAGCCTTGGCCACTGGGGGACCTGCCTTTGATCCCCAGGGACAAATTAGTACAACCCTCATTTCTCCTCACAAGGTGGGCTGGTTCTCTAGGGTCCCATGGAGTCTTTTCCAGCCCTGCAATAGGCTTCCCTGGGGATGGGAGGAGGGGCCTCCAAATGACATTTTCTCTTTGATGAGCCAGGCCCAGAGGACCTGGGACTGCAAGCCCCACAGGATGGCTCTGAGACCACCCGGGTGCCCACTCCTCGGCCTAGGGACGGTAGGTGCCCACACCCACCTGAAAGTTAGGTGGAACCATCAGGCTAGGATGGGTCTGGTTAGATCACATCCTGAGTTACAGCAGCTCAGCAGATTTGTGGCATGTCCTGAAACTCTGGCACTTTTGTATTGGCCTCAGGTCTCATTAACAGGGGTATGGTGTCCAGGAAGAAGGAAAGGAGACTTAAAGTATCTAAAGGTTTTTATAGCTGAGGTCAAAATGGAGGAAGAGGGTTCCTGTTCTGAGGAAAGCAATGAAATAATTTGGAATTTTGGATCAAGGTTCAGCTAGGCCAACCTGGGCAAAAGTTGGTGAGGTCCCATTTCAATCATTAAACCACATAGCGTGATATGTAGCTGTAGATCCTAGCTACACAAGGGGCCTAGATGGGAGTGTTTGAGAGGCCTGCTTGGAGAACCTACCTGAACAATAAGGGAAAAAGGAGCATGCTCAAATGGCAGAGCGCCTGCTGAACAAATATTGACCCTGAGTTCAAACCCCAGTACCTACCCATCTCCCCCCAAAAAAGAATTCAGAATTCAGCTCAGAGAGTCCAGAGGATAAAAAAGGAAGTCCAGTGACTTACAAGGGACATACTAGGATCTTCAAGGTCTCCAAACATCTAGCCTGGGCTAAGGCCCTGGGATGGTGATCAAAGACCTGGAGACCACTCAGCATGTTTTGGATTCTTCTTCTTCTTCTTCCACTTCCTCTTCTTCTTCCTCTTCCTCTTCCTCCTCCTCCTCCTCCCCTTCCTCTTCTTCTTCTTCCTCCTCCTCTTTCTCCTCTTCCTCCTCCGTGCCATTTCTAGTTTTCTGGTGATTAATTGGAGCTAAGAGTCTCACAGAGTTTCCTGCCTGGGCTGGCTTTGAACCTCGATCCTCAAATCTCAGCCTCCTGAGTAGCTAGGATTACAGGCATGAGCCAC